TGTTTGAATAAAGTGGGTAGTAGTAGATAACTGGAGTGCCTAATTGCTGCTGTTGCTGTCTTTCTTTGCCATTGTCATTATCATTATGAAAAGCATTTATTATGCATCTGTGATATGGGCATCTGGAGCTGAGTTAAGCTCTGAGCAAAGAAAGAGAGATATCCACATAGCAGCACATTACCTCTGCTGGATTCCAGCCCATTTATGACAAAGAACAGACAAATAAGCAAACAAATAATGAACTTTTTCCATTAAAATAAATACTTTTTCCAATGGGACCAAAGAAACGGTTCAAAAAAGCATATGCCCAGAGGTGGTGAGGAACTCTTTAACTCCACTTCACATAAACCAATAAACGGTGGAATTCCAAGAACCACATATCTAGGAAAAGAATTTGGAAAGCTAAATTGTACAGCATTCCTCTGGGAAGAAGGCCCACATTAGACAACTGGAAGGCTCAGAAAGCTGCCTGCCAACCTTTTGTAGAATTACTTCCTGTAGCCATATGTTGAACCTGAAGCAAGCCAAAGACAGTGAAAGTGCATTTAATTTTTGACAACACCAAGCTGTTAGAAGGACTAATACCAAAAAACAATAATAATAATAGCAAGTGATGTGTTTGAAATCCATAAATTGCATTTCATGTTCATTTGTCTACTCTAGGAAAACCAAATCAGTTTTCTTCTTCCTCCTGAGGTGGGTGATGAATGATTGCTTGGAGCTGGGTGGCAGGATCCTGTGTTGCCATTATTGACTTTCTATGGAAGCCATTCATCTGCAGATGCAGTCAGTGCAGGGTTGACACACCCTGCAAGCCTTAAGTAAACTGGTTTTAATCACTCATGGGTGGATCTGAACAGAATAATTACTTTCCTGTTAAAGGCAGTCTCTTCCTCTTATCTTCACCCTCCTGGCCTCAAGTAGAACAGCGAGGATTTACTCAAGGGGACTGGAACTCCCAATGTCAGAGGGGTCCCTGGCTGACAGACAGCAGAAAGCAGGAGTGAAAAGGACTCATTCATTCATTCGTTCATTCATTTATGAATTTACAATGATATGTGGACCTACTATGGAGCAAGCTTTGTTCCAGGCAAACAATGACCTCTCTTTTTAGAGAGCGTACCTTAGGAATGTGCAAAGCTTGGATTCATGCCTTTCACAAAGCCCCCCTAAAATTCTGTTGTCCAGAACATACTCCAGAATACAGAGAAGTAAACACAAGAAAACATTTGTTCAAAGATACATGAAGATTCTGAAGGGGATACGAAGGGTCATTCAAAAATAGGGATTTTTAGGCATGTTTAAGAAATGTAATCTATTGTTTTTGAAGAATGTTTGCTATTTTGAACTGACTATTTTGAAAATATTTCTGAGTAGAAAGTCTTGTGAGAAGATATGACATTTATTTATAAACAGTATCATCTATGTCTAAAGACTGGATCACATTTATTATAAAAAATGTACATAATTCTAAAGTATGTTAAGCCTTTTCTATGTAGATCTTCTATTTAGATCTCAGTAAGTTTTATTATTAGCTTATTTACATTTTATAACTGATAAAATGATAGGACAGACATCAATTCATTTGAAGCAAAATTATTAAAGAATTTGAATTTAAGACTAAAATAATAAGGTTTTACTTATTCAGTTAATAATTAAGTACATACTGTGTTTCAGCCATTATGACAATCATAATTTAATTATTTTGAAGGTTGTGATTAATTGGAGTACATTATACACAGTCATGTGTGTTACTGTGTGCATTTATATGTTTATGGCTCAGTTAAAAATGAATATTTCAGGGGCTGGGCACAGTGGCTCATGCTTGTGATCCCAGAACTTTGGGAAGCTGAGGCGGGTGGATCACCTGCGACCAGGAGTTCAAAACCAGCCTGGCCAACATAGGAAAACCCTATCTCTACTAAAAATACAAAAATTAGCTGGAAGGTGGATGGCGGAGGTTGCAGTGAGTCAAGATTGTGCCACTACACTCCAGCCTGGGCAGCAGAGTGAGACACTG